CCCCCACCCCAAAAAAAGACCCCCACCCAAACCACTACAATTTTGAGATGCACCTGGTAGCATGACATTTATTAGGAATAAAGACTTCCGAGCTCTGGTGCATTTCTGCGTGTGGGGGTCTTTATGTTACAGCTATGTGGTGTCTAGTTTGAACATGATCTGATCAGAAGTGAAGCTAATAATGTAACAATTTAATATAAAAATAAGCTTATAAAGCTGAGGTATTCACTGCTATTATTGAAATGGCTAGCAGACATTCACTTCTGTAGCATATATTGATAAACAGATTGTAGCATTACGCTAAATCATGCTACAATTTAGCACAAATTAATAAATATTAAGCTCTGTGATGGACCTGCGACCTGTCCAGGATGTACTCGCACTGTGACCACTGGATGTGGGCACCAGTGACCCACGTGACCCTGAAAGGAAGAAATGTGTACAGAAAATGGATGGATGGATAATAAATATAACATGCTGGTTATGCCTCTAATATATGTAATATTTACACAGTGTAACACAAAATTATATATTTGACTATTTTTAGGTTTCAATTAGACAAAGCTGGCCTGTTGAGAAGATGGTTAATTTCACTGTAAAGTATCATCAGGTCTGCATTGAACATTTTTTGTGTCGACTGGTAATGTAACGATTTATTATTAATGACTGTAAGAAATAATAAATATACTTTATCAGTTGAAATAATAATTTTTCAGGAAGCTAGACATTCTACATTAGTGGCCCATTTTCCCTCTGATCTGAGCTCAGCCAGCAGAGAAGCAGTTGTTTAAGGTTTTCTTCTGCAGCTCTACCGTGTGGGCTGGAAACGATCACTTTGGGAGAAACGCTCTCTCTATAATATTACTAAAATTCTGGGCACCACACTGTGATCCTGGGGCACTACCTGATAAAACTGTGTCTTCCTTCAAGCTGCACCTACGGAGCATGGAGGACTCAAGTGGTAAACAACTTCACACACACAAAAAATAAAATTCAAAAAGTGGGTGGGAGTGTTTTTTTTCCCCTCCTCATTTAGCTGAAAAACACGGCCAGCATAACAGCAAAGGTTGAAAATGATAAATGCTAAGTTGAGAAATTCAACATCGACAAATGAAAGACAAGAGGATATGCAAAAAATAAAATGCCTGGAATCACTCGACGAAACCTTGAAAGTCACAAATAACCCCTGAAGCCTTGGATATAACGTTTTTGTTGTTGTTCACTAGCATGGTAATGGAAGTGAAAACATTTCAAGGGTACCCCTTTTTCTCTGCCTGTCTCTGAACAGAATTGGTGGCGTCCTTGCGTTAAACATTTTTCATTCTGCTGAAGATTGAAATAAAACATTTTGTCATCAGAAACGTTGCTCATTTTTGCAAAGTGACCAAAGCAACAGCTACGAATAACTATATGAAAGACGGCACTTACAGCTGTGTGTGTGTGTGTGTGTGTGTGTGTGTGTGTGTGTGTGTGTGTGTGTGTGTGTGT